CGAAAACTCTTCTGATTTAATTTCGAAGCCCAGTTGTAAAACCTGTCGTTCTCTGGCAACGAGCAGACCTGGTTCATCGTCATGGTTTCTGTGCAGTCCCACATGGGACTGTGCAGGCCAGCCACGGGGAAGCGCTGGTAAGCCTTTAAAAGAATTTTCTGGAGCTCAAAAGCACTCCCCTCTAAAGAGGGGAGTTAAACTTCCAGTCCTTGTTGCATCAGAAGGAGAACTGAGGGGCGAGCGCTTCCCCTCCTGGCCAAATGGGAAAATGGGAAGGAAAAATTCTCAGGGGGGGGGGGGAACGCTCTTGGGCTCCAGGAAATTTCTTTTAAAATCTTGCTAGCTCTTCTCCATGGCTGGCCTGCACCTGCCCAGTCCCATGTAGGCCTGCACAGAAGACCACTTGATGAACAGAAGTTACAGGAAAGAGCAACCCTGTTTGCTGTTTAGTCTGACTCTTGGGAGAGGGCAGTCTGATGTGGCTGGAATCCCCTGTGTGTGTGAGGATCCAACCTAGTGGCTAATCAGTAAAAACCTATTTATGCGTGGAAGTATTAAAGAAAATTGAAACCGCTCTCTAAATTAATGTGCCTCAGGCAGGTTTCTCTTTTGTCTGTCTGTCAAGTCCTGTGCTGCTGATACGTTCATAGAAACCAATTTGTAAATAGACAAATCTTCTTTGTGGTTACTATACAGTTCCTGCCTCAGTGACCGCCGTATTCTACTTGTGCGCCACAAAACGTACCTCACAGCAGCGTACTCAAAGCCTGTATACTTGCTACCTTTTGGACACCTGGGTGGGGTTTGGAAAGGGGAGGGACTTCAACGGTGTATAATGACATAGAGTCCACCCTCCAGAACGGCCATTTTCTCCAGGTGATCTGTGTCAGACTCCTGTACAAAGTTACTCTCAACAACACCCACTGGCAGTGATTTGTTTATTGATGAATAAAGATGTTCCAGGCTCAGATCAGTACCGTGTCAGAACTGGGATTCTGCCTCCAAAATCAGTAGTTATAGATCGTTCAAATAAGCCCCCCGTCCCGTCCAATCACACCCCACAATCCTCCCGCCTAGCTTTCGCGTGCTCTGCACCCCCCACCTGTAAATATACCGTTACTTATGACAGTGAAGCAAGCACAGACGGTTTTCAAGGTCGTCCCACAATCCTCCCGCCTAGCTTTCGCGTGCTCTGTACCCTTACTTTACTTATGACAGTGAAGCAAGCACAGACTGTGTTTTAAGGTCATCCCAGCATTAGGGAGGTATCTGAAGGAAAGCTACATAGCTGCTCCTACAAAGCTATTCTCACACTCACTCATGCCCCAACCTCAGGAATCTCCCACACGACATGACAAATGAGATTCCCAGTTTGACAATCAGTTGTAATTTCAGGAGATCTCTAACCACCACCTGGAGGATGGCAACCCTAGGTCATAGCAGGGCAGTCTTTCCAGAATGTCTGATATAAACAAGAAGAAGAATTTAATACACTTAATTCAAACACTTCAGAGCACCAACAAAATTAGCTGTTCATTGAGCTCTTAGAGATTTCATTCTAAAGCTTTGAGAGTTATCTGAACTCCTTACTATAAAAATGGCAATTCCTGTTTCACATGAGGAAAAAGTGCTTTAAAAGTAGGCTTCATTCATTCCTGCAGAACATTGTCTTTCAGGCCCTAAGTTGTCTTTCAGGCCCTGAGAACATTGTCTTTCAGGCCCTGAGAGCCAGTTTGGTGTAGTGGTTAAGTGCACAGACTCTAATCTGGGAGAACCGGGTTTGATTCCCCACTCTTCCACTTGCAGCTGCTGGATGACCCTGGGCAAGCCACAGTTCTCTCAGAGTTGTTCTGGAAAGAGCAACTCTCTTAGCCCCACCTACCTCACAGGGTGTCTATTGTGGGGAGGGGAAGGGAAAGGGGTTTGTAAGTCACTCTGAGACACTGAGTGAAGGGCAGGGTATAAATCCAATCCTCCTCCTTCTCCTCCTCCTTCTCCTCAATTACAAAGAGTTATTACTGTTGTATTTTTGTCTCGATGTCTTCTGGAGACTGTGATCATAAAAAGAGTATATGTGCTTGTCTTACGAAAGATGAAAGATTGGCATAGTGTTGATTGATTTTCTGTATTTGTTTCTAAGCTTCAACAAATTGGTATTCTAGTTGATTCTCTTCTTTTATTTGATGAAATTTATATTTCACGAATAATTCAGGAAAGACTCCTAGACCATGAGTTTCAAAAACTATTTCCTTCCCAACCTTTTACCTGCTCAGCTGCTCACTTAGGTATCAATAAAAGACACGGGCTGATGCCCTGTTACTTCACTAATTTAAGACTCCCCATTCCAGCACAGGGTCTTTATGGTGGCCCATTTAAATGCTTTCCCTTCCAAGGTTTTGTCAGGCAGATTTAATCAAACTCCTTTCCAGAACAGGCTTTGTCCTTGTGAGCTGAGAACGCCAAATTCTTTACCCCCATATTATTTTAGAAAGTCATCTCTTTACTTCTCAACGTAGACAGTTTTTATTAAACCATCTTCGACAAAATGATCTTTCCAATAAACAAGTATTGATTCAGCTCTTAGAAGATGTTAATCCCGATACCACCTTTTGTGTTGTCAGACTATTGGTCGAGATTTTTAAGATTAAGCTTAACCTAAAATAATTGCTTAAAGATAAAGGTTCCCTTGCTCGAAAGCCAGTCGAATCCGACTCTAGGGTTGCGGTGCTCATCTCTGTTTCAAAACCGAAGAGCCAGCACTGTCCGAAGACATTTCCGTGGTCATGTGGCCAGCATGACTAAACACCAAGGCACACGGAATGCTGTTACCTTCCCACTGGAGCGGTACCTATTTATCTACTTGCAATTTCTTGCTTTCGAACTGCTGGGTTGGCAGGAGCTGGGACAGGAACTCACTCCGTCATGCGGCACACTCGGATCTCGAACTGCTGAACTACCGACCCTCCACAGCCTGCAGTTCAGCGTCTTAACCACTTGAGCCACCGCAGCTCCAGATAATTGCTTATCGTTCCTTTATTCCCTCCTAATTATTTCCCTATTTCTATTAATCCATTAATTATAATATTTTATTCTTCCAGCAGGATACTTGATTCATTCTGGTAGTCAATGTGTAATCAACTTTTAAATTTCTAACTGTTTTATTATATCGATATTTTACTGGATCGATATTTACTTTTGATGTAGCTATATATTTTGCTATGCCATTAAAAGATATTTGATTGATTGATTGTATTTGTCTTTCTTGCCGGTTAGTATCTGTTCGGACATGGAGCAGATTCCCATGCCCAGTCAGTGGCTGTTTTGAGGAACATGTTTTTTTTAACTATTCCACAACACTTAAAAAACCATGGCAACTTTGTTGTTCTTTACTCATGTATGCATGCATACATTCATTCTCATTTATGGTCTGTCTGTCTATCTGTCTGTCTGTCTCTCTCTCTCTCTGGTATCCCCCTGTTTCAACCTTTTCCGTTAAAATCCTACTATATTTCTGAATAACCCTCATTGTCTTCTTCCTTCCAGTAAAGCTGTGATGGACCTGTTAGTTGACTTGTGCAGCCAGTACCACTTAAATCCAGCCCACCACACTCTTGAGCTTCAGTCCTGGGGGACCCAACAACCTTTGCAGTACAAGCCAAATACACTGATAGGGGCACTGGATGTACAGAAGATACTCCTCAAGGAAAAGACTCCTGAAGGAAAGACAAAGAGGCCTCCACCCAGGATTCCCGAGGTCAGAACTGTGAGATTTTATTTTACGTAAAGATCAACGGATGGTGGCAATGATTCTTTCTTTGTATATGCCATAGTGAATTTAGTACGAGGACGCTGGGGGTTGGATCCTAAAACAGTTTTCATCTGCTTTTTACCCTGCCATTCCTCCAAGAAGCTCAGAGTGGGGTGTGTGTGTCAAGTGCCATAACCCTAACCCTAACCCTAACCCGTAGGGTTTTCAAGGCAAGGGAGGAGCAGAGATGGTTTGTCATTGCCTGCCTCTACATAGCAGCCCTGGACTTTGTTGGTGGTTTCCCATTCAAGTACTAACCAGGGCAGACCCTGCTTAGCTTCACGTAGCTTATATTTGTGTCAGAGCTCTAAGACCTTTATAGTTACGTTATATTGCAAATACAAAATTCTGGAAGGAAGAAGGTACATGGGAAAAGTTGAAATATAATGAGAAATTTTGCCATCTGGTGGAGGTTTAGATTTATCCTTGTTCTGCAGCAACAGCCGTGAATGGTGATTAGTGTGCTGTAGAGTCTGCTACAGTGGGAAAACTTTACATTGTTCACATTTACAGGCCTAGCAGTTGGTTTATGAAGTAGGTTACAAGGAGACAAAGGTCCATAATGACACAAACGGTTTCTGCAGATTTGGCACTCTTTGTTCCTTGATCTCTCTAAATATGGTAAAATGGTTATTCCTCTCCATCTTTTAAAATTTATTTTCTTTACTTTAGTCACAAGTGTTTCATAAGCGATTTTGGTGTCTTAATTTATAAAAATGTTCTGAAGAACCATATTCTGTCTTCATACTAGCTTAATCGTATCCTTCTGGACTAATGAACGGGTTCGATCTTTGATCTTTTTTCAGCTGTCTTCCACAAAACGACCCATCAGTCGTACCAACTGCACAGTGAAAGCAAAGGCTATTGTTTTGAAGTCACTGAGGTTCTGTAGCTCACAGAGGCCTTTCCCCCCATTTCACTTTTACAGAAAACCGTGAGGCTCGTAGTAAATTACCTCAAGACACAAAAGGCAGTGGTTCGAGTGAATCCTGAGGTGCCCCTTGAGAGTATAATCCCGGCCATTTGCGAAAAATGTGAGGTCAATCAGGAACACCTCATCCTCTTGAGAGATACCATCACCGGGGAGGAGCTGGAACTCACAAAGTCATTGAACGAACTAGGGATAAAGGAGCTCTATGCGTGGGACAGAAAAAGAGGTAAGTGAAGACACATACTAATCTACTGTGAAGAAGCCCACATATTTACAGATGGTGCTTATCCTACCTATGCACGTCAGTGAGGGCAGCATAGGAAATCTTGCCTTTTCTTAAAATGTGCTGCAGCACGGATCCTCAACACGGTGTCCGTGGGCTCTGTGGTACCCGCCAGCACCTTTCCTGGTGCCCACTGAGCAATTTTTGGAAAATAGAAGAAGGAGAGATTGGATTTATACCTCACCCTTCACTTGGAGTCTCAGAGCGGCTTACAAACTCCTTTCCCTTCCCCTCCCCACAACAGACACCCTGTGAGGTGGGTGGGTCGGACAAATCACCTTGGGAAGATCCAAAGTTCTGGTGCCACAATGGAGAAGGTCCTTTCTCAGTTTGCCACCTGTCTAACCTCAGATGGCACAGGTGATCAAAGTAGGGCCTTTGAAGATGACCGGAGTGAGTGAGTAGATTCGCATGGGAGAAGGCAGTTGTGGTTATTAGTCCACTAAACTTCCACTTATCAATGTTTCCACCATTCACTGGGCACTATTGTGAGTGGTGTTGTAGGAGGAAAGAGAAATACCTGTCCACCTTCCAAATTGGACTGACATGTGTTTGAGTGTGGCCCTTTACACCCATTAATGAACTTTCAGAGCACCAGCACTTTATTGTAACTTTATTGTAATTTTGTATTGTTTTATCCTGCTTTTAACTGTTTTATCCTGCTTTTAACTGTTTTATCATGGCTTTGTGCCCTTATTGTTAGCCGCCCTGAGCTCGTTGGGGAGGGCGGGATATAAATTTGAATAATAAATGAATAATAAATAATAATTAATTTGATGTTAATATGGGGAGGAATGGTAGCCATGTTGGGGTGACTGCAGTATTCTTGGTTGGAAAGTTGCAGTAGCATACAGTACTACAACGAGGATCTTACCAAGGTGATTTGTCTGACCCCCTCAATTGGTGTCTTCAACAGCTGGTGAAAACGTTTTTGTTTCATCTGGCAAACCCCCAATAACGGTCACTGGCCCTCCCTCTAGTGTTGTTCATTAATGTGTTTTTAATAGAAGTATTATATTTGTATTTTAATTGTTAAAATGTTTAATTTTTAATATTTGCTGCCTTGTGGACCCTGACTGGGTAGAAAAGTGGCATAAAATGTTCTAAAGAAATTAAAAAAAATAAATAAGCTGTAAAGTTCTGTCCTGGCAAATGTGAGGATCATCTGTAGATGCAGGCTAGGTACATTCTGAGGCATGTGGCAAAACACAGTGGTGTGAATGAGGCCTCTATACATACCCAGAGCATTACAGTGGCATACCTGTAGCACAACCTTTTTGAGCCTATGGGCACCTTTGGAATTCTGATACAGGGTGGCAGGCACAACCACAAAATGGCCACCATGAGAGTTGGAGCTAACCACAAAATGGCCATCTCAGGAGGTAGAGCCAGACACAGAGGAAGGCCAAATGCAGGGAATGAGTGCAGTTACTTTTGAAAATACACTGGGAAAGAGGAGTGTGAGAAATAACAAAACCAACACTGTTTTGGCTTCTGCCATCAAAACCATGTTATTTTAATCTGTACAGCCAATCTGATCTCCAGTGGCCAATCAGAAGCCAGTATGGTGCGGTGGTTAAGTGCGCGGACTCTAATCTGGGAGAACCAGGTTTGATTCCCCACTCCTCCACTTGTAGCTGCTGGATGACCTTGAGTCTGCCACAAATTCTCTCAGAGCTGTTCTCTCAAGGACAGTTATGGAAAGAGCTCTCTCAGCCCCACCTACCTCACAGAGTGTCTGTTGTGGGGAGGGGAAGGGAAAGGGGTTTGTAAGCCACTCTGAGACTCCAAATGAAGGGTGGGGTATAAATCCAATCTCTTCTTCTTCTCCTTCACCTGCTGGAGAAAGCCAGGCATCAAGCATGCTGTACAAGAGAGGGCTGTGTGTTCTAAATAACCAGAGGAAGGAATAAGTGGGGAAAGCCACAAGTGGCTCATCTCTTTTTTAAAAATCCATGTGGCTAAGGCTGCGATCACACGCACAATTAGACCTGACATAGGTGCAAATGCCGGGCGGATTTAAAGGGTGCAATCAGACAACAACATCTGGGAAGCGCCCTGCAGCCATCAGCAACCCGTTCTGCTCCACTGCAGAAGTGAAGTTAAAAGACTCCAGGGAAAACCTGGTAGTAAACGGGTTGTGACAGGCCACAGATGGAATTTCCCTTGTCTGATCACTCCAGCGCGCTCTCATGGCATTAGGATGGTCTGATCAGGCCATCTCAACTCCCTGCTGTTGTTTCCCCCCCCCCTTTGCTATACGCGCATCATCGCAAACACCATAGGGAGCCCTCAGTGTGGAGGTGTGATTCATCGATTCCTCGTTTAAGCGCATGAGGAAAAAACAGCACCAAAAAAAGAGACTCACCCACAGTTCTGTCTGATCACACACTGACGGACTGTGCCCGCAGCTTCAAAGGGAGGTGTGATCGTACAACTGTGGGTCAAATTCCTCCGGAAGAAATAGCCTCGCTCCCCCCCACGGTTTTATTCTGGCACGGGTGACCGCAACCTAAGTAAAGCTAATTTAGTGATCAATGATTGTATGAAGGATATGGATTTTCAAGAAACATTGGCTAAAGCTCATAGTGTGTGTTCTCCCCTACTACTCAATTTCTCTAATGACCCCCACATCCATATGTGTGTTATCGATCAATACTAGCTGTAGCAGGATATCACCATTCATGTAATCTGGCTAGATTCAACGTACTACTATCTGCACTCTTGACAGGAAGATAAAAACATTCCATCTAATCATAGATTTTGTCCTGGCTCTGCTGATCTGATTGATTCATTGGTTCACATGTTTTTCCATTGGAGGTTTTATGTACAGGCGTGTTTGGATGTATTGGAACCTGTGTTGGTTGACCACCCCCCACCCCCCCGTTCTTTGAGCAGAAGACTCTCAAAACCTTGCTAGTGGGGGGTTGACCAAAGAACTACCGTTACCTGTGGCTAAGTTTCTATTCCCTGCAAAATAATAGGCTGAGTTAACATCCTGTTTATAATCTGCTCATCTTTTAAAACTGTTAGATATATTAAGATGAATGATATATGCTGAGATTTACGTAGGTAATTAATTTTATAATAGTGTGATTTCCGCTTCTGAATGACCTGTGGGCCGGGCTGTAATGAAGACTGTCTGACTGGTCTCTTGCTGCAACAGTGGGCTTTGACGTTACAATGGGTATCCCTCGGTTTGCAACCTGAGTTGGAAGGGAAGCCATGCCGAAGCACACATGGGGGACGTGTAAAATACTGGACAAAGCAGCTCAGAGAGTGGATGAGTGAATCCAAAAGGTCACCTTCACAACACCAAAGAGGCATGCGGCAGCTCCGCACCCCCAGTTCTGTGTACAAACTTTGCTGTACTTAGTTCTTGTTGTTGTTCAGTCGCATAGTCGAGTCTGACTTTTCGCGACCCCACGGACCACATCACGCCAGACCCCTCCTGTCTTCCATCGTGCTCCGGAGTTTGCTTAATTTCATCGCCTCGATAACACTGTCTCACCATCTCATCCTTTGCCCTCCTCTTCTTCTGCTCCCTTCTCATTTGGTGGCCAAAGTATTTGAGCTTCAGCTTCAGTCTCTGGCCTTCCAGGGAACAGTCAGGGTTGATTTATTTGAGGATTGACTGATTTGATCTTCTTGCAGTCCAAGGGACTCTCAAGAGTCTCCTCCAGCACCATAGTTCAAAAGCATCTATTCTTTGGCGCTTGGCCTTCCTTAATAGTCTCGCAGTCATACAGTACTGGGAATACCATTGCTTTGACCATACAGACTTTTGTTGGCAGGGTGATGTCTCTATTTTTTATTATGCTGTCTAGGTTTGCTATCACTCTCCTCCCAAGGAGCAGGTATCTTTTAATTTCATGGCAGCAGTCACCATCTGCAGTGATCTTAGATCCCAGGAATGTGAAGTCTGTCAGTGCTTCCACGACTTCTCCTTCTATTTGCCAAAGAGTGATGGGACTGGATGCCATGATCTTTGTTCTTTATCTGCACCTAATTTGGCTCCACAAGGCGGCTTAAATTAAGACAGGGGCGATTGTTCTTGCATGTTGTTTTTAACAGCAGCTGCAACATCAGCATGTTCAGCTGCCACCTGACTGCAAACCGCCTGCCTTGTTTGCAGGCTTTGTGCCAGCTAACAGCTGTCAGGCAGGTGATTGGCCCCGTGGGCGCACACAAGGCAGGGCTGCCACACCTCCAAATGCTGCTGCTGTCAACAGACACCTAAGCAGTCCTGGAGTGGAGCCGAGGAAGGAGCTGCTTTTCTTGCCTTTGTAGCAGGAGCCTCAGAATACCGGATAGGCCACCACAGTCATGAAGTAACTCATAGCACTGAGGACAGCCAGCAGGCATTAAGTGTTCTGCTTCTAAGGGAAACTGCTGATGTGAGTTCCCCCCTCCCATTCTCTTTTTTAAAAAGCACTTAGAAAAACGTGATTGTCCAACCCGAAGAGGAGTTGAGAAGGTATCTTTTTTCATTCTAAAAAGTTTTTCTGTCTCCTTTCTCTTAAACCGTTGTGGCACTCTCTTGATCTTAAGTCCCACCACAGAAGCAGCTGGTTTCAGATGCCATGAATAGCTCCTTTTAAATGGATGTTTAAAAAATGGGGTTTGGCCAGATGTCACGACTGGCATCGCTAAAAGTTAGACTCTGTTGGTTCTCTTCACAGTCTTGTTGCAGCGGTGCTGCTATTCTACTTCTTGTCTCACCTTTGCAAAAAGAGCTGGACAGACGTATGTTTTATTTATGTAGTTATTTATTTATGTTCTGTCTCTTCTTTCAAATCCCTCTGCTAAGTGATATTTCTTTTCTTTTTTAAAGCAGCATTTTTAAAATACGGGCAAGGCTTTTTTCCCCTTCCTGGGATTCTCCTGGTTTTGAGGTGCTCATCTCCTGCGTCACATGCTGTTTATCAGGCGCCCACTTTGTC